CAGGTCTAAACACAGCTATACACACCTAAACAGCGCAATGTAAGGGTTTTATCATCTACATAGGGTGGAGTTTATGTGCGTAATAAACCATTCAAATCGAGTTATCAAGACTAGTATAGCAGTATTGTATGGTACTTTTCGCTTTCCTTGTTACCGTTGGCACTAAACCATCCCATTATTATAGGGAAACTCTTTTCATTCGTCAGCGCCAGGAATAAGAATAAAGTAAAGTTAGGCGAATATATACTCGTTGGACTCAAGACCAACTATATTTAGAAAAATACATTGCTATGAAATCAGAGGATCAAAGTAACTTCATTATAGAATGGAGTTTTTCATTAAACTTTTAGTGTTTTTTTTAACAACTTTTTTAATCAATGGTGTTCTTTTTGTAGTAGAAAAGAGAATGCCGTCAAGAGGGAATGAAGAATTATCATTGATATATGAGTAATTCAGATAACTATTTTGGTCAATTAAACATGCAACAAGTTGTACTTATTCTGAAGCAATCCAACATGAACGAGTTCGCATGCAATTAGTTATACCTTTTCCAACATAAGCGTGAAATGCGGAGCGTGAACCTTTAGTTATAATAGCAAGACAAAAGAGCAAAAACAAAATCCTACAAAATCTATGTAATTACTCAGTATTAACACAAAGCTGTATTTTCTTAGTTTTTTCTCTGTGGATTGACGTAGTGTGGATCAGTGTCTCTTAGATGCGCCATTTTAGCCGCTATCGGGGCTGTAGACTTCGCACCTATGTTTAGAGACAAGTCTATAACAGCAGGAGACTTAGCCAAACAATCATAAAAATCATGCAAAGTTTTAGAATTTAGGGAAAGTCCCTAACTTTGCAACAAGTCCCAGCAAACCTTCAGACAATGGTTTCAATGTTTCTCCTGAGTCCCCAATCCACCTCTGCATTTTGAACTTTCATGAACTTGGACGTACCCTTTTTCCCTTTACAGGAGAGACGGTCGCCCTATTTCGCTTCTTTCGTTTAGGGGTTTTTCCTGGGTCAGCTCGAGTTAGAACGATGTTTCCACAATCGAAGCATCCGCAGACTTCGGTGCATCCTACAAATGGACACTTCAACTTGTGACTTGTATTTGGTTATGTAGTTCTTTTTTTTTTATCATCACCACTTCATTGGAATTGCATGTATTTTTGCAATTATAACACATGCACAAGCGGGTACAAGAGTGGTCTATTTTGTGGCACGGGGATTTAACAGAAACACAGAAAATATCTGACTTATTTCTCTTGTTTTTGCCGCAAGTACACCTTGTTTTCGTCGCTTGTTCGCCACCGTCATTCTCACTTAAAACTTTTGAAACGATGAGACCATGTCAAGAATTAATTCAATGGTTTCCGACCAGGTTTCGACAAGTTAAAAGTCATTAGTATATACTAAAGCAGAGAATAGCGTTGAAGGTGCGTTCTCATTGGCCACATAAACTCCGAATATCCTTTTTTATTTATCTCCGAGCAACTCGCGAGTTTCACGCTCCTTCACGTGCAGGAATAAATTGATTAAAATCATCTTTTTGTGCTGTACTATCTCACTGTTTTAGTGTGTACTAAAAACAACTATTAGCCTCTGCGTCGTGGCTAGTAATGGATACTGATTTACCAAGCCGCTTGGCGGCTCGTTAAATATCTACTACTACTCACCTCCACTTAGGTGAATAGTTGTTAATTATATCTGAAATAGCCTATTTACAGAGCTCAATTTGATGAACGTGAGCGTTAACAACTTAGTACTTGTACAAGACTTCAAGTCAATCATAGCGCCAAGACATCGGGAGGATCTGGAAAAATTCTCAGTCCTAACCTCGATACGTAACCTGAGGTTATTGAACAATCATTGAGGNGAAAAATTTCAAGTTGCTTCATGTGTTGTTGTGGCAATAAAAGGTTACCTTCTCTAATTATTTCAACTAGTATAACAGGCTTAGCTCTCAAGGTCAATCTGTTAATTTGTCGTTTACAATTCCAGGCAAGCAATGTACAACTCATTACAGC